TATTTTTATTTCAGTTTATATTTGACATTTAAAAATTACTTTCATTATGTCACATGTAATGGACATGTCAATGCATATATTTAGAAGGACTTTTACATATTCATTAATATCAAATTTTTTAATGTTTCGATGTTTCAACCGCGGTTGAATGCTTCGACTAAGAGTTTTCTGTTGTTGTTTTGTGATTCTCAACATGTTCTAGATCATAAAAATACGGGTCTTACACAAAACCTGTGTGCTCTCAAGTTATTATTGGTTGAAGCGAAAATAATCTTATGATACGTAGGTAATATACGTAAGTTAGTATTACATGCAATAGAACTCCAAATCTCATTATAATGTAAAGAAATTGAAATATTACAAAGCTGAGGAAACATGAAAGTAAAGAAAGATTTTGTTTTTCCGGCCGGAAAGAATAGTGATTTCGCAGAAAGTTAATCTTTTAATATAAATTAATCGCTATAATATAGGTTTACCCTAAACGAGATAGACAAAAAATCATAATTGAATTGAAAATTTTGAGTTAAATCAAAAACCTAATGTAATTTGAACATTGTGAACTCAAATTAATTCACATACAGATTCATTAAAAAGATAGTAACAATATCCTTAGAAAAGTTTTGGGGCATAACGATTTACACGGCAATATATAAACAAATTTAATCTACCTTGAAAAAAGGCGAAATATTAGCCACAATTTTTGCCTTCCACTGAAATGTTTCAATACATTGATCTACGAATGGCGATAATCTTATTTCCAGAGATGGTAATTTTGAACTTTCTTTAAAACAATCTTCTCCACTGCATCAGATCGAATATTGCGCATTATGTTAGGTATCATTTCCGTGAACAGCTTTTTTACTCTTCTCACAAATTGAAGAAGCGTGGAAAACGTAATTTCAAACGCATTGAATATACAATGTCGCGTGCATGTCGATTATCTTGCTGAACATAACTGTTCGTGAAGAACGACAGGTTAATTCAAGTTGCAGACAGACAAGAATTTTATTTATTTCTCCAACTGAACTTTATAAAAATAGAAGCATAATGTTACTACCCTGACGTAGTTATAGATAATTTACAAATTATACTTTCGTATTATATTCATTGCAAAATGCCTTCTTGGAATTAATTGCTGTGACACTGAATTTCATAAGGATTTTTTTTTCAGACTATTAAGCCCTTAGTTATATAAAGCTTTATGAAGTACGGATGGTTTAAGCTACAAAATATGGAAATTAAGTTTAGTATTTTTAAAACCTGAATGAACATTTAAAATGCCAAAATTCTACTTTGCTCATCCTCGATTATTTCCCCCTAAGCTTGATAATAATAATATAGTTCACGAAGTTTGTTTTGTTTTCCTTTATAACTTCATTGGAATTGCGAGTGTGCTCGATTGGCAGGCGAAGGCTGCTCGATTACTGGGTAGCACACGAGTGCGCAAAAACTGTGCGACCTTGATTTAATCGACTCCTACACTTTATACAAGTGGATCTATCTCTATATTCTGTGAGACTTCATTAAGACATTTAATTCATCACACTGGAGATTAAGAAACGCTTGCAGACAGCTTTGTTAATTGACTTCTCATATAAATACTTATACAGTGAACATTCCTTCAAAATATACTGTGGTTTATATTCTATTGACGTTCCAATGCGAACCCAAATAAATACGCCTACTTCTACTTTCGATAGGATCGCAGACTTGCATCACGAGCATCGAAGGTCAAAGGAAGTCGTTAGCAGCCAGAAGGGACTGACCTGAAGATAAAGAGTACATCTAATGGTATTCGAACCCTTTAAACTACTCAAACTCAGTTTTAGAACTTCAAAATCTGTACCTGTGGCCATTATTTTTGCCATGTAAACATTTAACCTAGCAAGTAATCTGCATTTTCGAAAAAATGATCAGAAATGCATGTTATTACAACATACAGTAAAGTTGAACATTTTATTGAAATACGATCAATTTTACAACCTTCCTAAAAGTTGTAGTTGTAAACAATCATTTAAGAACTTTGTCATAAATTACAAAAGACTTAAGTCATTCGTTCTCAAAGTGTCAAATTTGTAGTTATTATTTCACAAGTTGCAGCGTCCAAATTCTGTTCCTAGAGAACAAGGCCGGGGACGCAATAGATAGATTGCTGGAATCATTTGTTGTGAGCGTTTATGGTTAGGGCAGGCACCTCTTCGACAATGTTCACAAATTTAAGACAAGGTTTCTTAAATCGATGGTATGCACTTCCGAGAGACACTTCACCTGTCCCAGTGGCCGTTAGCTATCTTCGTACTTTAAAGAGAGCAAGTAAAAAAGCGTTTTCAAGAAGAGTTGCAGAAATGACAGTTATTACGTGAAGGCGTAAAAATGAAGTAAATAATTGAAAAACAACATTCCAATAACAAATTTTGAACATCATAGTGAAAGTCGAAGGGCATCTAAAACAAATGTATAAGAAGGGAACTCCTAATAGACAATTGCATGATCTCGGAGATTTATTGATTTTATTTTATAGCTCCTCTAATTGTTTAATTTCAGCAAATACATATTTTGCGCGTTTGAAAAAAATACATTCCCTGTCATTCAAAACAAACCGTACTTAATACAGCCAAGAGGCGAAAATATATCTATTGTACAACCCAAGATCAAAAATCTAAAAATTGCACTGAATAAAGAGCATCCATTCGCCCTCTTTGCATAAGTCCTCGAACAAAGAGGTTTTTCAACAAAAAAGCTTTTCCCAAAATGTTTAACGAAGCGAGCCGGGAGGTTTTTTTTAAACAGCAAACGCCCGACTTTTGCCGAGTGCCAACGACCCTTCCAGCGCGCGCCGTTGTGGCGTGGACCGGGCGGGCGCGGCGCGGTCGCGGCGTGCAGCGGGGGACGGCGGTGGCGGGGCTGGGGAGAGAGGGAGGAGGAAGGGCTGAGGGGAGGGGGGCGGGGCGGGGCGGCGGGCGGTGGAGCGCCGTGGGCCGCCGAGCACGTCGGCCGCGCTCGCAACTGGTGCAGCGGCGGCGGCGGTGGCAGAAGCGATATGCCGGGTACAGCCTCGCGACAGCCTCGCGTCTATCGCGGCTCCCTCGCGCAGTGCCGAGCCGGCGGGCCAACATGGCTCCGGCCGCCGGCCATGCGGCGGCGGCGCGGCGGCGGCGTGCGGCGCGGGGGGTAGACGCGCAGAGCCCGGGGTGAGTCGAGGGTTGCAAGGGAGAATCGATCGCGCTTCCCGCCCTCCTTCGCGACCCCCTCTCCCCGCGCCGCCCGCGAGTCGCCCCCTGGCTCCGCTCCTCGCCCCGCTCCCTCTCCCGCCCCGCGCTCCCTCGCTCGCTCGCGTGCCCGCCGGAGTGCCACAGGGGCGCCCGAGTACCCTCGCACCTTCCTCCGTGTCTGCGACCAACGCGGTCGGCAGGTCGACCGCACAGCGCTTCACGCTAGGCCTTCACAAATCGCGCCCAGGGGCGCCTGGACTGCATTCTTGATTCAGAATGCGTTCATTACTCGCAACGTCGAAACTTATTTCATAGACGGTAAGCTGACGTAGCTGGCGCGCAACCAACAAACTAATCTAAGCATACGCGTGTTTTGTATCTAGAAAGTACCCGAAGACATGTTTAATCTTTCTTGGATGATATGACGATCAAGTCGTAGAAGGCGTGTTATCAAATAAAACATTTGGACTGAGAGCTGCATTGATCAAATAAGCCCAATTTTTTCAATAATTTAATCTTATCTTTTTCTCATAATAATCTGAAGGGATGGGAGCAGTCATTAAGATTTTGGTTGTTCCCTGAAACGCTGTCACACATCACAAAATATCCTATTTATCTGTTAATTGTGTAAAAAGAGCGTTGAATGTAGACTTAGAAGATAGTCTAATATTACGGAAGCAAATTAAATGTTTCGTTTCAAAATAAACAGCCAGTAACGGAGCAATTTAACAAAAAATGTTTTATCATTTGACAAATTCACAATCAGATCGCAAATTGCTTCGTAAGAAGTATGATTTAGAAATTGCGTACCTCATAAAAACCACATTCTTTAAACAACCACCATACAAACTGACGAGTAATCGAAAGTGTCCGATTTATTTCTGCTGAATACATCTCTAACAAAAGCGCGCCAAACAGTATTCCAAGCCAAACGGTAGCTTTAGGGAACGTTTCCACTAAAAACAATTTATATGTAATTTTGCTCGCGTACTACACAAAACGGTCAACAGAGCAAGCCATTTAAATTTCCCTACAGCTCAATATGCCCCGTTGAAACGAACTGCACCCCAGCACCTCCCCCCACAGAGGTTGACTAAGTCAGTTCCGTGCGTATAAATACATTGGCAGTTCCAGAGTCGAGGGAGCGCTCTGGCTCACGCGGGGTCGATTCTACGCTACGCTCGCCCGGGCGGCCGGCGCGGCGCGGCGCGGCGGCGGCGGCACAGCGGCCGCAGCGAACGCGCGGTACACCGCCGACGATAACGCCGCGTCGTCCTTCCTGCACACGCGCCTAGGAACGCCCCTGCGGCCAAGCGCATACGCGCTCGCAACAACCCATAAGCACAGAACACTGCTGCGCCCTCACTCGCGTTGCGTTAAGGTGTAAATGGGCGTGCGTGAATCTTGCTGTTCGGAGAGGGTCTGTTTGGGGTGGGAATTTTTAATTACGTCGTGTTGGGAGGGTAGGGTGAGGTGGGCTTAAGGGGGGAAATAATGTAGCTGGCAGAGAGAACGGTTCCTGAAAACCCGCCCTCACCCAATCCGCTGCCGCCTTTGCAGGCCACCGCGCTGTCACCGGCACCGTGGCCCGCAGCAGGCCTGCGATAATGGCCTGGCGCCAACACAGCTGAGGTAATTTGAAATAAATAACCGCGGATTTCACACGCGCCAACTGCGCGGCCGTGCCCGAAGCGCAGCGTCGGTGGCTGGCGGGGGAAGGCGGCGGCGGGGCAGGGGCGCGGGGTTGGATGCCCGGGGCGGAGCTGCGCGCGTTTCGCAAATACTCACGCTGCGATGCTCTTCGACAGCGGCCAACGCTCCATGGTCGCCTGGTACTTCATGTTCTCGATCTGCTTCTTGAGCGCGTCCTTGTCCATGGCTGCCTGCGGGCTGACTGCGCCGCCGGCCGCCGCCAGCGACCCGGCGCGCCCCCTGCGCGCGCGCGGAGGCGGCCACTGCGCCGTCGCGCGCACGTGACGTCATGTGGTGACGTCACGGCGCCGCGGCGCGCCGCGGGAAGTTTGCCGCGGAGGCAGTGGGCGAGCCGTACGACTCCGCGCAGTCGCTTGTGAATGAGTGGGTAGTAATCAGGTGATTTTCTGGAAGAAAATCGGCAGACAATTCTCCGAATACATGAAAATAAACGAATTCGAATCATCGATGGAACATTTATTTCACTTAACGAAAATATTGCGGAGTTATTTTTTGTGTTTTGCATAGACGTCTAGGAGTCATCTTGCATATAATTACGTCATTTAACATAGATAGGTAGAGTCACCTTTAAATTTAATTAGCACGTGACATTTTCACGTATTTTTATAGAGTTAAGTTACATTTACTTCTTCTATTTTCACCGCTCATCTTTACCAAACAAGACTGAAATTATTTTACAGATTAATTTATAAACATGTCAGGAAAGTAAAGAAATTTCAGGTATATATTTTAACTGAAAATAGATCTTGCCTGCAGTAAGTATCAATGCGAGTCAAAAGCGCAACATAGCTGTTTCAGGAATCAGCCAACATTTTTTATAAGCCATTTACTGATGTTTTCAAACAAAATACCAATAAATATTATTGTAAGCAAATGCATGATTCGCTATTACGTCGACCTGTGGTTCAACCATAAAGAACAATTGATTATGAATTTTTTATCTATAACATCAGTTCAATAAAATTACATTCGATTACTATATATTAACTCTTTCAACTCAAAACTTTCTTAGCTTTAAAATTCCTCATATCGACCAGACAGTAAAAGAAGATATCAACAAACAATCTTGCTGTACTTAAGCATATATATATTGCTATACTTATGCAGATGTCCTCGAATTCAGTGTCCTGAAAAGAGTTCTTAGCTTTCAGTAACAATTTTGATTCTGTGACACATTGTGAACTGACAGAGGGATGCTGGGATCATCCTCCCACTCACAGAGTTGCATGACTTGTTCTAGGAAAGAATTAATTTCTCCCGGCTAAGAACACAATTGCTGCAATTATTTTGGTGGTTCTTTATTTATAATTACCATACTCTGGAAAGTTAAAAGTCAAGGAATACAAATCACAGAACTTGGTAAAGTAAATATTTCAAAAATATGAAAAGTTTATTGACCTAGTTATTTAGAGAGTAATTCCAAGAAGGCCATTGGCCTACTTCCATTATGCGGGCCTAAAATTATGTTAATAGCCAAAGACATCATACATGTGAAAGCAATCTGAAGCCACATGTGTGCATATTATTCATCGTCCTCGGGACACCTCTGATTGTTGACTTACATTTGGCCTCTAACGTCTCCTCCGTAGAAAAAATTTGCACTCCGCACTATCCTTTAAAAATAATTCCCACTTAAATCGTCCTGAATTCGAAATATTTTGATAAACATCTACAGCAAATAAATAAATTGAACACGCGTGGTACTCGGTTTATATTGGACAGCAGTTCAAACAGTTGTGCATGTTAAGGTGCTTCGGTTAAGGTAATTTACAAAAATGTCGCCAATTTGAAACCTTTGACTACCAATTTGACTACTTTCATTCACACACTTCCAAGTCAACGGCAAAGTTCTGACCTTGGGCCTCCAGAATTAACATAGAAACATCCTTAAGCGTGGAGCCACCGCAAACATTTCCAGCGCATTTTGTATCGAAATGTAATTACGGATTATCTAGGGCGAGGGGCGCAATCCTATGGAAAAAAGTAAAACCATTTTAGCATGTGTGTAATACACTATTTTTTCGACAACCTTACTGCCTGTCCTTTAATTTTAAAATTAAGTATACAAATAAATAAATTAGGTACCATCTTACATGAAGATCAATTATAGCTGAGAAGAAGAAATAATATTTTTCTTTCTTTGTTGCATTCACAGTTTTATCTGAATATTTGAGCATCGTCTCACTTTTAGCACTAGTGATAAAAATTGAATCACACGCAGTGCGTGTCCTGAACGTAACGGCTTTTACCAGTGGCAGTTTAAAAAGAACGTACTAGTGTCTCGTACCGCGTGGAATGGCGCTCGGAAGCACTGCGCGGCGCCGGCGGCGGAGGAGGCGGCGAGGCGGTGCGGTGGGAGACATCGACCCGCGACGTCTCGATAGTTCGCAGCGGGCCCGGTCGCGGGTCGAGAGCGGTCGAGCGGGGGCGGCGGCGGCGGCGGCAGATCGGGGCCAATTAGGGCTGCGTGATATCCGCGCAGCTGACCTCGCCGCTCCACCCCACGCGTTACCTGGGCCGCTCGCGGCCATCTGATTAATCATGCTTCTGATGCAACGCTCACCTCCGCCTGACCAGCGCTCTCACCTGAATGCTCCCCTTTGGTGGGATGATCCCGCGCAACATTCATGTCCCCTCCTCCCTGTTTTCATGTTGGCCCCGCGCCATGCACAGTCTCGGCCGAAAGTTGAATACCTTTGAAAATCCATGGTAGGCAATTGTTCTTTTGCCAGTGAATACGACTAGTACTCCGAGTAGGGAAAGGGACATGACTCTGTGCGCCATTTTTTCTAGTAGATTAGATTAATGCGTGGACATTAATGTTGGAAAAATGCCTTCTGAGCTCACGTTTATAAAAGGGAAAGATGAGCTAAAAAAATCTTAACAACATTATTTTCAGAATTCTTATTATTGGAGTATCATTTTATTAATAGTACAATAATACATCGTACCAGAAATAGTTTTGTAGTTAGACAAATATACATCTTAAATCTATCATTTTAAAAGCACATGACCAATTTCTATGAGACATTTCTGATAGAGAGTCTGAGATGAGAGACGCAAATTTTAGTACGTACAAAATTACACATTGGTGTATGGCCAAACATTTGCGATCAGGAAGACCTAACATGAATTTCGGAGTCTTCATCTTTCAACCAATATTGTAAGTCATATTGTGAGGATTTACTAGATCTGGTATCGGATTTAAATCGTATCTTGTATCGAGAAGGAAATGCATGAACTTGTTTCATGAGATTTTGCAATGTATGGCTTTTCCTCCTGCACTAACAAATCCCTGTGAGTATGCAATCTAATAAATCAAATGTAGAGATACAAACTTAGGATTTCACTAAAAGTTTTCGCAAGATAAGAAGTCGTTAACAAAATTATTTCGTTTTAACTAGTGAAATAATAATCTTAACTAAAAATAATTTTCAAAATATGATAAAAGTATCCAAATGATATGTATTGTACAGTACTGTATATATCCAAGTAAAATAAAGAGCATATTTTTCTCAGTACTACATACTCTCTCTACTACATTTTGTATACATTACTGAAATAAATTTTGAAGCACGTGTGTTTAAAACGTTTTCAAATTATTTTTTACTTTTCTTTACATATTTCATCAAGAAGATCATTTTATTAAGTAACGGCAACCACACTTTTTCAAAAATGTGAAAGCTGGATACTGACAAGTTGACAATTTAGCAAACAAGATAGTTAGAATGTGTTGAAATGATACTACTGAGACCTCCAAAATAATGTGTGGGTGCTCATTAATAGATATGAGCTGGTATTTCCTATTCTATTAAATTTTATATTTTAATGTCACAAATAGATCAAGAACTCCAATGAAAAACGTGTCAACTTATCTATTGACTGGTACTTATGTTATAAAAGAACAAGAATAGAGTGCGGGAATTTTCAAGGCGCGATCACACATCGGAAAGCAAGCACTTGGAAGCAGCAAGCACATCGGAAAGCAAGATTTACTTAAATCGAAAGCATTCTGACTTTCTCGGCAAGCTAACCGTTTCATCCATGTCAGGGCCTAGTTTATTTCCTGCGCTTGGGGAGTAAGAGAAACGTGACGAACATGACGTGTAACGTATGACGAACCCTTCATCGTAACTATCAATACAAGCAGCTCCATGCTAAGCAAGCCATTTTGTAACGTTTTTATACAGGCGTGATACCCACGCTGGGAGTGCCACATTTTAAAGCGTTTCTTATTTATGTTTGAAGATATCTGTACATTAGAAAAATTATTTCCTATAAATGCGTGACTTTCAATTTCTTATACTGTTGAACAATACTTACGAAAGTCAACGATTATTTCGTATATTCTTTTAGACAGGATACATTCTCCAAAAATTTATCCTGTCTAAAAGAATATGATAAGTTTGGGGAATCTGGTAGCTGAATACCTCTTTTCCAATAAATATAGTTACAGCCATTATTGAATTCAAAATTATTTTTTTAACTATTTTTATTTATCATCGCATCGAAATTAAGGTCATTTGCGACTAAACAGATGAGATGTATGAGACAGAGAGAGAATGTAGGTTCTTTGGCACAACAGCTCATTTTGAGCGAAGGCCTATCAACAGTATCCCGGCTTTGCGGTCATGGGTAATCACTACGTGTGGTTAGCACATAGATATCCCTACGCTGTATTCCGGTATTCTCAACCTGAGACATGAGCTTTCTCATCGTCACACATCAACAGATACTGGGACATTGCAAGAAAATCGCAAAATTAATCGTTCTCCGGACAGGGGATCGAACTCGAGGTTGCACCGTTGAAAACAAGCATGCCAACCGTCTAGTCATCGGAGGCAACAATCAGATACATTTTACAATGATAATATAAAATTAAAAATATTATTTATTCAAAAACAGAAAAATACAAACATTAGTATCCTAAGTAGTTCCTCTAAATTCTATTGTAAATATTGATTTCCTTAACGAAATCAATAATTTTCATTTGATAATCTTTATAATTGAGAATGTTATCATGTTTGTTAAACTTTGTTAATATTACTTACACATTCGTTGTCTTCTGCTTTACTTCTTGTTGGCATGAAATTTTGATCAAAACAGAGTTCTTTTAATTTATTACGGCGGTTTTCAAAAGTCTATATGATATTTTATTTATAAAGAAATATAAGATTTTTGTTGTTCGTCGTTTTCCGCAGAAAGATGGAGAAGTTGTAGAC